CGCTCAAGCATGGCCTCAGAACAAGTTCGACGGCGTCGAATTCACACAAACATTAGACAAGCTGGCAAGCTAGACAAAAGGACGTCCAAGATTTAGAACATGTCAAAAGGACATAGAAGGACATATATATATATAGAATTGTATAGAATTATATATAAATAATACATATCAATAAAGACAGATGCTTGATCCTACCGGCTTGCTACCTTGGGAAACTGACATGGCTCAAGCTCTGGCGGCGCGATATCAGCGATAGCAGAGCAGTTAGCAGAGCCGACACGATTGTTTCGCAACACGTTTCGGTGCGCCCCATCCCCCTAGTAGCTTCTTGCTCCTAATAGCGTCCTTGTTACTACTAGTAAGGCACTTGTTACTAGTAGCGATGCACTTGTTCCTAGTAGCTTTTTGCTCCTAGTAGTACGGCCAGGAGCTCCTAATAGCTTCTTGCTCCTAGTATGCCCCATCCCCTTCCGCTACCAGAATAGCAGGCTTTCTACGCACTGCGACACACGAATAGCAATAACCTACTAGCGATGGCCTCCGACTCCAACCTAATGGGATTGATGCAACGACAAGTTCTGTAAAGTCTTGCTGCAAGTTCTGCCAGGAGATGAGAGGAGGACGTTGAGTTGATGGCAGGCAGGGTTTCTTGAGGCTTTTTAATTTTTGTCCAACTAATAGCTCGGACGAGTGCACCAAAGGTTGGAGGTCATCGCTAGTAGGGTGGAGGCCATTGCTATTAGGTGCCAAATCCTTGGATAAAACACTTCCAATCGACCAGTGCTCCGTTCGTAAATCGAGAAAGCGGCCAAGCGCAGGCCAGAGGTACTACCCAGCTGAGGTGTCCGGACCCCAGCTCTTTAGGCTTCGGTCTCGATTTCCTGAAGGAAAAGCAGAACGAATGTGTTCTTCTTGCTATAGTTTCTAGGTGTTTCTAGTTTCTAGTAGCAAAAAATAAATCCAAGACATTATATAAATGGATGTGTTCTTGTATGGCCTTGCAGGACTAGGATTTGCACTAGAGCAGGCCTAGGCCAAAAGAAGTGTTTTTGGATCTGGGAAAGTAAGCAGAGAGGCCTTTTGTACGGACACCTTTGTGAGCATTCTGGTAAGGCTTCCAAGCTCAAGGCCTCAAATGTTGGAAGGTATATGAGAGCAGATCTTTTTAACAGGAAGCACCCCGGAACAAAGGGCATCGCTACTAGGAGCAAGGACGCTACTAGTAGCTTCTGGCCTTACTACTAGTAACAAGGACGCTACTAGGGTGGAGGCCACCACTACTAGTCACAGGTCAGGGATGAGAGCTTGAGAGGTTGAGAGGTCAGTCTGGGCAAGCTGCAGAACCCTCATGTTGCCGACTCGCATGATGATCCAAGGTGAAGTCTTCAATACTTGTAGTCGATGGCCTCCACCCTAGTAGCGTCCTTGTTACTAGTAGTAAGGCCACCAGGAGCTACTAGTAGCGTCCTTGCTCCTAGTAGCGATTCCCTTTGTTCCTAGTAGCTTCCTGTGACTAGTAGTGATGGCCTCCACCCTTGCACTGATGGCCTCCTCTTTTCTTCTTTCCTCTTCTGTGCGTCGAAGGGGTTCGCCTGTGACTAGAAAGGCACCTAATTCTGAATTATCGTGCAGGGGCATGAAAGTCAGGGCCCATTGCCGCGTCGTGGTCAAAAGACTGCAGAAACGAATCAACTTTCTCCAAAAACTCATGAGGCAATGGTTCACCCTGCATACTGTCAGCAAGTTGGGATCTGAACATCTCCGCCAATGCCGCGCAGAAGTCGGGGGGGTACTGCATTCCACGAACCATCTGCATTTTGATCGCCGCCTCTTTGGGAATGTCTCCGTAGTTCGGGACGGATCGTCTCCACCCCGTCCCAGGACTCACACTCTGACGTTTGGGAAGCGTAAAAATAACACAAACCAAGGCTTTTGCCTATAAAAATGCAGATCTTGCCATTCCAAACACTCCTCAGGGTGCTCTATTCTCATGGCCCCAGCAAGAATACTGAACCAAAATTGCTTAAAGGATATCCCGGATATCCCAAGCAAAAAGGCTGCCAGTGCTCACTTGTTGGTGTTCTCGCCAGCTCAAATCTGGTAGTCCATATGGCTGATATCTACTTCTCACTGGACGGGGTTCTCCATGGATCACGCATGGAGGCCCCGCTACTATCCAAGGTCTCCCCAATCTTGATTGAAATTATGTCAATAGACAAGGGTTCCTAGTAGCTTCTTGTTTCTAATAAGTAGTAAGGCACTTGGTTACTAGAAGCGATGCACTTGTTACTAGTAGCTTCTTTTTTCTAATATGCCGTAAAACACATGCGTTCCCAAACTGCAAGTCTTGTGATCGCTTTGTTCCTGAAAATAGGTGAGCGACCCGCGGTCGGAATCGCAGTGTATCAGTGAGACATGGCAGCTCGTCCGCAGCTCCTTGGTGCCGAAAAAAGGTCTCAACTGTTTCCGGCATCTCTTGAGCCTTGGGAATTCGTCTGGTATCGTGCAAGTATCCAGAGTCGCCAACGGAGGAGCAGCTGTCCATCGTGCCCACAACTCTTGTTGTTCTCACTGGGCATAGGTGGTGTGTCCTTGATGATTGTCAACAAGGACCCGTGGTGATGGCCTCCAACCTAATAGCAAAAGGAACCTACTAGCGATGGCCTCCAACCTAGTAGCGATGGCTGGTTCTGTTTGTAAAAGAGGACCTCGTGATGCTCGTGACTTTCTGTTTGCACTGAGGAAGCGTGGTGAGCGAGTGGAGCCCCACCACGACCGCCCCAAAGCAGACGAGGCAAAGGGGTGGTAGAGATGAATGGGGTGGTAATCACTAGTAGCTTCTTGTTCCTAGTAGGAATGGCCCACCCTAATAGCGATGGCCTCCACCCTAGTAGCTTCCTGTTCCTAGTAGTAATGCCAGGAGCTACAAGTAGCTTCTTGCTCCTAGTAGCGTTGCCCTTGCTACTAGTAGAGACGAATGGGTTTGTAGAGAAATGGTCACGAAAAACCCAACGTTGCCAACGGCATCAGACGACCAACGGCCCTCGCAATGGGACTTGACGAAGGTTGAAGAATGTTGACGATGTCGCATGTGTCGCCGGCAGGCACGCCACAACCCGAGCCCCTCCAGTGATGTCATCCCCTCAGAGCACTCCTAGATGGTGAACCAGTGCAGATTCCGAAGATTCCTTGGTATTCAGTTCAGTGATGAAACAGTGCTTGTCAAAGTGCTCAGTTGAAGCACCGCAGTGATTCCTAGATGTCATTAGATTTCCAAAGGTGGACTCAAGCGAAGCTACGCCTCCACAGGCAATTTGGTTTGAAAGCCCAAGCCTTTCCCAAGGAAGTTGGCTCGGTGACAGTACTATTCACATCTATTCAATTTTTGTATCATTTGCTCCCTTGATTCATTTTGGTACCGTGCATCAATGTAAATGCAAACAACTGACTCATTTTAACTTTGAATTTGCCTTGATGCTTAGAGATCCTGGTGCAGGCGATGAATCCACTGTGGAAGACCAGGCATTCTTCGCACGCTAGTCACCTTGGCTCAATCATTGACCCACAGCATCCGTTTTGGGAGGCTATGTAATTTCTATGACAGCAAGTCTGGCTGCAGTCGGGAACTCAGCTGTGATTGTCAATTGGAGAGAGATGCCCCCCGTGCGGTGCAGGACATGGTCGCTTGTGTACCTTTGCGCACGGAGCAAAGGACTTTGTCGATGTTCGTTGTATTCTTTTTGCCGTGCTATGCGGAATCACTCGTCACTGATGATTCTCCAAGGCGTAGTAGTCACTAAATTAATTAAGTAGTCACCGTAGTCACCCCTTTGTGGTACGTTCAAAGCCTTTTGTAGGCAGAACTGTCCTGTCGGTGTCCAACGCTCAGGAGCTGAGGAATGCACCCGATTTCACGAGGACAGCGATGGTTGAGCGGGTTGAGCACACAAACTGGACATGCAGCCTTCAACTATGCCAGAATCCATAAACTATGCCCGCAGTTCTGTTGCTTTTCTTGATGCCACGGATGTGCCGTGAATCTTATGAGGACTTCCATTTGCCCTGCCCTTTTGCGCACTGGAAAGTGTCGTGAGGCTGGGAGATCTTGAGGTAGTAGATTTGGGGGCAGTGCCTGTATAGGTCATGCTGAGTGATCCTTGCAAGTCTTTTTTGACAGTTTTGGCACTTGCAGTTACAAGTAAGTAAGGGTGCATTTCCGACTTTTAAGAGTGTTTTTACAATTAAAAGGGATGCCACTACCTTTGATTGGTGGACCCCTGAATCTACCTATGTTTTTTGCACTACTCAGAAAATACTGCTCAAGATATCTAAGAATTGGTGTTTTATCTTGACAACTTGCTTCTTAGCCTTTTTTTCAAGCTCCTATGAAGACACCTTTTCCCTCATGATGGCATGCAGTCTTCAAGCTTCGCAAGGCTTCCAAGTGTCAATATGCTCATAGCCGGTCAGAACTAAGATCCATGCCTGGGCTTCTGAAGACCAGGACAGCGGACTAGCGGACTGCCAACCACAACCAACCAACTCCTTTATGGCAGACTTGAGAGCCTTTTACAGTAGCTGGGAAAAGAAGCATTCTCAGATATTTCAGAAAAGGAGAGAAGGGAAGAAAACAGACTTTAGAAGAACAAAGAACGGACATGCAAAGAAAGGAACGGGAAACCCGACAAATCGGCATCGATCCTCTCTTGTGAAGTACCAAGGCAAAACATTCCAGACCCAAGCCTTGGGGAGGGTAACAAGAAGCTACTAGGGGCTCCTGGCCGTACTATTAGGAGCATTCTTACTACTAGTAACAAGAAGCTACTAGGAACAAGTTCATCGCTTCTAGTAACAAGTGCCTTACTAGTAGTAACAAGAAGCTACTAGGAACAAGTGCCACGCTAGTAGTAACAG